ATCAATTCTTAAACAAACCCTTCCAAAGGCTTACGTTTTCTTGCACGTTTCTCTGCCTTTTCACCTGTCTCCACTTTTCTTTTTTCTCTCAAACCATGGCTCACTACAACTAGTTCTGCTGATGTTTCATCCGCTTCCTTGGACGTGTTTTTCACCATCTCTATCTGCTCACTATCATGCTCATTTTCTTGTTCGCTTTCAACATCGGAAGGTTTATGACCCGACATGGCTGAAATTGCAATGAGTTTACTTGAGTGAATTAAATCCAGTCGGTATTTATGATATCATGATAGATAGATTATAATAATAAACCGTAATGACTGGTATCGGGGAAACAGTTAATTTGTCTCCCATTTATCTCAAACATTGAGATTGAAGGGAAACAAAAATGTATTTCTTTTAGTTGTTGATTAACTTTTCTAATTCAGTTCCCATTATTAAGGCCACCCATTGAGAATAGCAAATCACTTCTGCGCAGACCAGTTTGCCCGTGGATGCTTGTTCGGTTTTCTTACGTTTAATTTGTACTTGTACTTTTGGAACAGTTTTTTGAAATGATCTTACTTCGTTTACTTTGTTAATATTTTGCTGCGCATATCTTGTGAGTGCTTATCAGGGATTGTATCTTAAATCTAGCTATTCTTAGTAAGGTAAAGATAAACTTGAGGTCGACAGTACGCTTAGTTTACACTCTCTCTTCATCAATGCTCTTTTTTGTTTAATTTAAGGGTCATTAACGCTAGTTGAAGCTATGCAGAAAGGGGAGAAGTTGAAAGAAGGATGTGATGTCACCGAGGATCGAAACTCTAAACCTTGCGCACTGAAGAAGCTCACTAACTATATGTGCCATCATGTTATCACAGGTGATTTGGGCATGTAACTGTTATATCCTGACTTAATTTTGTTATTGTTGTGTTATATTGCACTAAGTTACGTCATAGTCGTGTTACGTGTACATGGATGTGCTTGCACAGTGAGTGAGAACTAGGAATAAAATAAGACCAGAATGCTCATGTTCAATGCTCGCGTCGTTTCATAATTTCGTCCTTGGATTTCTAAGTTATGACATCTGGTGACGAGGATGGGATCACTTTGTGTTATACGGCTATTTCGTGCTATTTCCTACACCGTATGATCTTACTTCACTTTGTTTCGTTCGTTTGTGCTTTCGCACACGTACTCGCTGGTACGTTTGGAAATCCCGCCATTGCTTCACCCTTGCTCGGTTCTGTTGGTGAATTTGATCCGTCCTCTGAGACTTTTACTGCTTACCTCAAAAGACTTGACCAGTTCTTTGTGGCCAACGATATTGGAAAATGTGCTGATGATGCCACTGCGACTGTTGTTCGGGCAGCTAATCAGAAAAAGGTCGCCGTGATGATCTCCGTCATTGGTAAGAAGACATACAGCACTCTCCGCGATTTGTGCAGCCCTGAAAACCCGAAGGAAAAAACATTTGAGGTATTATGTGAACTACTACAACACTTCAAGCCCAAACGATTGGACATTGCCGAATCCTACAGATTTCATCGATGTTGTCAAGAAAAAAATGAGAGCGTGTCGGTTCACAGTGCTTGTTTAAGACATTTGGCCACCACTTTTAATTTTGCGAATTCTTGAACCGCTCGCTCTGCAATCAGTTTGTGTGTGGATTCGAAACCCTGCGACTCGAAAAAAACTATTGAGTGAAGATCGAACATTTCAAGAGGCTCTCCGAGTGGCTATCGCCGACAAAATCGCGGCTAAAAAAACTTTGCAAGTCCAACAGCAACAATTGCCTCAACCTGTTAATTTAGTTGCAAAAGAATTCTCAGCCCTACCGTCCTCTTCTCGTGGAAAGTCAGCTACCCAATCTACCTCGCGGCTGTCTCCTAGCCAGATTTCGTCCAGTTCCCAGCCAGCAGCTTCTTATGCTTGTTTTTCATGCGGTAATTCTGATCATGTTAGATCTAAATGCAAATTTAGGAATGCTGTGTGTCGCCATTGCAAGTTACGAGGACATATTGCTCGAGTGTGTAAGAAAGGTGGAGTAAATGTTATGGGTTTTGAAGAAGATCCACCTCAGGAACAATTATCTGAAGAAGAAGAGTTGTATGTGGTGTATGATGTTCATGCAATGTCCAGATCTAAAATTTCTGTACCTCTGAAGATTGAAGACCAGGATTTCCTGATGCAGTTAGACACTGGGTGTGCGTTATCCCTTGCCCCGATTACTTTCGTGAAACAAGTTTGCCCAGACATTGAAATGAAATCTACAAATGTTGTGCTGTCGACATACACAGGTGAGACTGTGCGTCCCATAGGAGAAGCACATGTGAAGGTTGAGTACATGGGATCACAACACACACTGCCTTTGCTAATTGTACACGAAGGGACAGGTGCTTTATTTGGTCGAAACTGGCTTACTGATGTCAAGCTGGATTGGAAGAATTTGCCAGGTTTGAATCACGTCGGACCTTTGCCATGCCGTCCCTCTACACACCCAAAAACCCTAGGAAAC